TGAACTACGTAGTACATATACCACTCAGCAAACTCAATTCCATTTAAAAGATACGTGTTCAATGTTCAGATTATGAAATACTCTGCTATATATTTTGATAGTGGCCATTCAAACTAATATTAAAGAAGAATAATAAGCTCGTTTTTTGCTTACCTATAAGTCATAAAAATACAAAGACAGATACATATGAATTATCTGGTCCAACATATTTTGATATGATTGACAATGCGACAAATATGCACCTAATAATGCGATCATGAACGTGATATTTATGAATATGTTAGCGTCGGGCATCACTGGAGATACATTAGAAATGCGAACCTGGTGCATAACAACGGGGTAGCATTATTGTTTGTATTCTGAACATGACTTTAAAATTTTGATCAAACAATTGAGCAAACGAATATCTCAACAGGTACCGAAGACACATGCATGCATTTGTAGCATGAATTCTCTATGATGATAATCTATTCAATGAAAGATACTGTTAAATATATAAACATGACCAATAAATATGTAATATGTGGTATATTTAAAACAATCAAACGGTATTTTGTGTATAATGATTACTACAATCAATCCATTTAGATGTTAAGAAAACTACATGTTTGTGTTGATGTCGGATCAAACATTAAACAATGTACCAATTTGAAATGATTAAGACCTTCATATAAAGTAAAGACACGTGTCAATGGTGAATAAAATATATTGACGTCTCTATGCGTTATGGTAACCTGGATCGGTACATTGCAGTACATGTATAGTGCACTCATGCTTATAATTTCCCTTCACTCGTATCCATAATATATTTTTATGTGTATGAAATAAATCCATGTTGCTACATGTAAAAACAACATCTAGATTTACAAAATATGTAAACACAAATAGAATATGGAATAATGTAATTAATATTAAGCAAATGAAATTCACGAATTTCATGCTGCTTAACTTACTGAACAGTTTGTAAACACTTAAAGTGCCCATAGAGCAATAATAGCTAACGAAGATCACATAATTAACTAAAAATATTGTACATAAAAACAGACCACATCATCTAAGTTTAACAAATAATAAATCAACACCCACTTTCTTTAACAAAACACGACGTCCAAACATAAAACCCTTTGAGCGAGACTTGATTTTTAACTAGTTCCATTCGAATATATCTCCCCGTAAATTATTGAATCATGTTAAGAAATCAACATTAAAGTCATATGAAAGGAGTGACTTGTGAAAAATAATGCTTATCTAATTCTTGAACCAATGCATGTATATATCATAAACTTAGTCTTCTGTGCACGATTTTATCATTTTTTACGCAAACATATCGTATAATCGTAATTTTTTTTTTCTCTGTCTGTTTTGATGTGAAATATGGCAGCTCATTCATTGTCGTGTTATGAAGCCTGTTTGCCGATTGTCACATTATAGTTAACAACGAACAAAGAAGCATGGATATTGAACACGTGTATAACATGTACAATCAGATAATAGTTTATTTCAGTGACAGATCCATGCGTATTGTGATCACCGGATTTTTACGAGAAAGGTCAAGCTAAGGTCACTTGCATACGGAAAATATTTCGGCGAATTGCTTCCTAGAAGCAAGCAATTAAAAAAAAGTAAACTTCTTCTAAATGTGGACAAATTAAAGAATTTTCTTCAGAAAAAAATATATGTACATAAGTTTAATTATGAACACTATCCATTTTGTTATAAAAAACATAAGCATCATTTTTGTTTTAATTTGAGGTTTCATATGACTTTAAAACTAAGCAGTCATAAATCATGTAAATGGTTTATCAATTTATAACAAGGCTAACAAAACTTCACCGTGAATCGATAATAAGTGTATGTGAAAAGTTTCTGAAACAGCTATTGATACAAATATATATTTTATTTATTTTTCCGTTGTAAGAAGGAAAAGATATGATATGCATGGCATGCGGTTTTACTTTAATGTGACTGTTAACAAGATTGTACTGCTATTTTACAATTATAACCCATCTTAATGTGAAGGTTCTGAATTAACAACTGTGATTTTATCAAATTACATTAAGAATCAAAATTGATGTTCCCCCTCCATTGACAATATATGATTTATCATAGTTTTGATTGAAACACAATGCAACTGGTTGTGTGATACGAAGTCGACTGTCCAGTGGTATATCTAAAATCTCCTTCCCGTCCTGTGTCAGTCGGTGTATGTTGTTAGAACCCTGTCCGCTGATATAGATGTGTCCATTGTTATCGGAGCATATGTCCGTGGGGTTATCCATAGTTCCAATGTTGACATTTTGCTTATCACCGCTACATCCCGGTAGTCCACATTTTGAAACCTTGATATAGTTCTGACCGCTTATACAAGAAAAGAATAATCCAGTGTTAACTGCATGGACCTTCACAACACGGGGATCAATAGGGTTCCCAGTTGAACTTACGTGTCCATTGTCGTCATTTTAGATTCTGAAATTGTTAAAAGTAAACAAAAACAATGACAAATTGTGAATGTGACTAAGACACTAAGACACGTTTTTAAGTCTTTTGTGTTTACACGATATAAATTCAGGATTTGAACAAATTATTTTGCAACAACGGAAATTATGACTGTGTTGTCTTTGTTATGTTATGATGGGTAACAATTGTATATAATCAATATAATCTGATAATGTGACTTCTTAATTTTGCTGTAAATTGAAAAGTTAAATTATTCGAAAAATGCAAACATGGTTAAGATTTCCTTCGATATATCTGGTTATTTTTGTTGTAATTTCCGGTTTTTAATGTTATATATTACTCAATATATAGTATAGGTATAGTAAAGGAGAAATAATATCAAAAGAGCAATCAAAACATAAGCCGAATCAAAATAGAATTAAAACAAAAAGCAACGAAAAGATAAACAACAGTTTATAAAACAGACCACAGGAAACTAAAGACTGAGGACTACTAATTTGATATAACAGATTATCAACTTGTATAACAGATTATCAATTTGATATAACAGATTCTCTAATTCTTCGTCGTTTTATCCCTTTTCGCACCCATTGTATAAAAATTTTTAATCAACGTGTGGTTTGCTTGATTTCAGTTCTTCATTGGTTAAAATCCGATTATGACGTCGAATTTTCTTGCTTTCCTCTGGATTTTCTATGGAGACGGCATGAAAAAAGGCGACCATGCCTGATGACGTCACAAAGAAAGAACACATCTTTTTGCAGATCATTCGAAAAGAAGGAATAAGTTTGCCTGCGTATTGTTTGAAAATCATTAAACAGATTCCACCACCAAATCTTGTGTTATACGATATTTATCCACTCTCGACAGTTAAATTTTAAATGTTTAAAACTTTAACTGTCTCGAGTGGATAAATATCGTATCACACTCGATGCAGTGGTAGAATCTCTATTTATCAATTTGATAAAACAGATTATCAATTTGATATACCAGATTTTCAATTTTGATATAACATATTATTTATTTGATATAACAGATTATCAATTTGATATAACAAATAAGTAATTTGATTTAACTGAATATTAATTTGATATAACAAATTATTAATTTGATATAACAAATAATTAATTTGATATAACAAATTATCAATTTGATATGATAAATTGTGAATTTCTCTACCAATATGATTTCATTATAATAATGATTAATTAAAAAATTGCATAACCCAAACTGGCGCATTTCGTGTATTAATTGATTGTTCGTGTGACGTCCAGTGACAAATATATAATGCATATTCAAAACTCAATTTACAGGTTTAATATTTCTTTAACCCACCCTCCTCCCCTTTTCCCTTTATTTGAGACAGTTTTCGGGACTAGTTTCTCAATTTCGTATATAGGACCTGGTGTCTTAGAACGAACAAATATAAGAGAGAAAAGGGGGGCCTACATGTATTAGGTCAATTTGTATTACATATTTTCAAGTCAAAGAGAAACGGAGAGTCCTACTGAGAGATTGGTGTTTCTATGAACATAGGAACACACAAGGATACAAAAAAATGCTTCACCTTCTTAAAAAAGCCAGACATATTGCTTTGTTAATTTAAATAGGAACATTAAAGGATTTATTACACATCCTGCAGTTCATCATTGCATTTGTCTGAAATAAAAAAAAAATCAATACATATTTTTGATTTGAAGATTGTTATTAAAAATAAAGAAACATGCGCGAGATTTTGAATGATTGTGGACTTTTAATTTCTGTTAAACAGACCACACGTGTATAATCTGAGCAGCTTAATAACGTTGTACATATAGATTAAGGATTTCAGATCATGAGCAATGCAACAGCATTTAGATCTATATCTTAAACAGTTTAAGCGTTTCACTTTTTGTCAAATAGAGAAAGGGAGAAAAACCTAAATCTATGCATAAGTATTTTGACAAATCAAATTTCCTTTTTTGTTATATCAAATTAATAATTTATTATATCAAATTTATAAATTGTTATATCAAATATTTATAGTTGTTATATCAACTTGATAATCTGTTATATCAAATAATTAATTTGTAATTTAAATTAATGATCTGTTATATCAAATTGATAATTTGTTATATCAAATACATGTATATAGCAAACTCTCGTCTATTGTTGAAAACCATGTGCTGTCCTGCATGCATCTTTTACTTTTGCCTGTATTCAACCCGCCGTGTTATCGTCATTGTCGTGTCTTGTATGTGTTAATCATGGATTTAATTAATTGTTTAGTATTGTATTATTATTTTAAAAGTCATATAGAGGTACGCTTTGTTCTCCACAACAAAAGAAACACCATTTAAATATTCTATTCGTTGTAGAATACATTGAATAACATATTTATGATATTAGAATTAAAGTCAGTCAGTTAAAGATACCTGTAATATTACTGTGTCAAAAAGAAAACCATTAAAAAAATGCTGTTCGTTGTTACTGTAGCGTATATTAAGAATCAATGACCAATCACAGCTAATACAATAATTCTATTCGTGCACTTATTTGTACATCCGTATTGTGAACAACCAAGTAAATATTTATTCGAAACTGAAAGCAGAATGTAATATATGGGCTTAACTTTTCTAAGTTCAAAAAAAGGTAAATATTTCAAAATGTCTTTATTCGTGTAATATCATTTAGGACAAACTTCTTTAGCACTAGTAACATAATAATGAGTGTTGAAATTATGTGATTGAAAAATGTGTATTGATTATGTTTGGTTAAATGAATATGCGTAGTATGTCTTTGCAAGGACATTTCGATTAGGTTAAATAAACACCGAATTGAAACCAGTCATAACGGGTTGACTTAATTAAAAATGTAGAGGCCAACCAACGATTCATCAGAGTCAATAAAATATATTTATCATATACTTATAGAAAATAATGGTTTAATTGTACCCCATGCCAAAACTAATTTGTACATATATTTATTCATTGAATTTGAAGAATTGCTTAGTCGAGTGATATGACTTTTGTTATCAACTGCTTCCGGTTTATATCAACTGCTTTCGATTATTAAGGCATGCTTTTCTTTAGCGTTATCGCATGACATTTCGACTTCATTGGCCAAATTCCGGAAAAGACACATCAATGGTATGTTTTTTTTTATTTTTTGTGTAAAACATAACAAAGTTGGATAAAAAAAGAATATTAGGAATCAGGAAAATATATGATTATTAAAAAATGCAAAACAAATATAACAACAAATGCATTGTTTCAAAGTTTTAAAAATAGTTTTAGTCTATGTCTTCTGCTGAAGTATATGATAAAAAAAACCTAACATGTATTTTTTTATATCAGACCCCTTATCAGCCCATGGTCAAAATTATCGGCTCTTAGGCTGATATCATGACTTAGGGCCGATAAGGGGTCTGATATGAAAAATGCCATGTTATAATCTATATGTATCGCAAGCCATTATTCGTTTAAAGTGTACACATATATTCATAAGATTCATTGGAGACGACCAATTTCCGTAAACAGAGAGAAAAACAAAACGATTGCAGTAGACAAAAGAACAAAGGAACTGTGGCATTCCAGAACTTGCATATGAACACATAAAAATAAATTTGGGACTCGTCTAACAAACTGTTTGACTCAATCACAAGCCTGTCGAGCGACTCAATAAGACAGAAAAAAAGTCAAAATCAATGAATAACAGACAACAGAAGTACACACATTAGACTGATACTTTTTTGATTTGATCCCTTTACATGAGCAAGGCCTTAGTTCTTTTGTTTACAAAAACTAAAAACACACTTGTTTTAGTTATCACGATTGAGGTTTTTGAACCGCACGAGGGAGAAAGTGATATATCTTGATTGAAATCATTATTCATTACTTGACCAACCAATTTAGGAAACAAAAAGTACCCGACTTACCCAGGTTTTTGTCTAAGCGCAATTAACTAATTTTGATAAATTACCTCTCATAGGATATTATAACTTACTTGTTATGTGTTTTCGTCGTCTTTGTTAGCAGTCTTTTTTAAACTAGTCTGAAGTTTCATTTTTTTTTATTTTGTAATGTAATTCTACTGATTGAGATAGAAAGAAAAAACAATATCTTTTTTCATTACTTGAAAACATCACTTAAGAGTTAAGAGTATGCCATAACCACTATAAATAAGATTGGATGTGTATTTTCCATTCATAAACTAGGTATATAAAAGCCCTGTGTATTGTTATTTTATCATTTTTTCTATGTGTAGTGTGCGATTTTGTTCCATGTACATTTACTCCATATCCTTTCATTAGGTCTTTCCACTATTCTGTGGAAAGACCTATTGTATTTGTTCAGTTTTTTTTTTTCTTCTTCCGCCAAATTTGTTACGGGCCCTGTTTTGTGGTTTTGCAAGATGTCACTTAGATTTTTTGCATTTGATATCGAACATTTATTGCGCTTTTGAGACTGACCCTGTTTAGTCGATGACTTTTATTGTAAGGGTTATCTCCCCCAAACACTCTTTTCTTTGTGATGAGAATTCATCCGTAACCATAAAAGAAAGCGACAATTTTTTTTTATCAAATTGCTCGTTATATCCTTAGGATTTGTTGTCCAATTACGACGGAAGCGATACGAAGACTCCATATGAGAGTAATTTCCTCTACTGCATTTGAAATAAGTGATATGCATTAGTAACAGGTAAACCATAGAAAAGAATAAAAGGTGAAAGGTCCAGGTCAAATTCTAAATTTTGACTTTTCCTTGTTCCATGATCTCCTCTATCACTTTAAAAGATATATATAAAAGAACTAGTGCAAAATGTTTGTCTAATTGTGATTAAGATATGATACATTTGGTCTGAACAATCCAATGTAATCTTATAAGAGTTATTGGACCTGAAATGATTCAATTTAAGATTCATTGATTATTACTTCAACTTGGTACATAATTAAGCAATAGAGTCTTTTGCAAACTGTTGGTTGACATGTGACCTAGAAAAATATCAACTCGAAGTGACCTTGAGTAGACCGTAAGTAGCTATGTTTTCACTTAATTCACGGAAAAGTACCTACAAACTAAATATCTTTTAAATATGCATACATAAACCTATCATTTGAGACCGGAAGTGAATTTCACTAGACCGGAAGTACCTAATATTTCCCATATTACAGGCAAAACGATCTAGAAACCATATATTTTTGGAATCATTGTAAATCGGAAGTTGAAAATTATCTTCCTTATTTCAAGTAAAATATTTAGAAAAATTTATTTATTAAATCAGTATGAAAAAACCTATGCTTGGACGCCAAAAGTAACTTTGAGTAAACCGAACGTAGCTTATCATCAATAATTTATAAAATTAATGTGGAAAGACCTTCAATTGTTCTCTGAACAATTAGTTTTTAAAATTGTTATTACATCTCTTCTGAGAAAAAATTGCACATGCATGTTATCTGATCTTCTCTGAAACTACATGTCCAATTGACCTCAAAATTTGTCAGCGGAGTATACATGTATTACATCTTCATATAATAACTTTGTGAAGCTACCTCCCAAGAATTTTCGTAGAGAAAAAGAAATTTCAATGCCGTAAAAAATCGCTTGCTAGCTCCGTAAATCTCATTAAAATCCTACAATAAAATGTCTGCTCCTAGATTAAAATACAAATCTGTTTTACAAACTGCTGCTTAAAAATGTACACTGTGTGAACATGATCGATAAACATGTTATAAATGTACACAAGGTTCAATTAAATCCAAAGCATGCACTGCTTGTGATCAACACATCAATTACCTACAATGACAAAAAAAAATACATTTTGTGTTCTTCCGTAAAATATACATGTTGTCTGTTTGACGTCTCCACCTAAAGAGAAATAAAAATGATAAGTTTCCATTTTACTAGCCTCGTCACGTGACGCCACAATCTGGCGCGAGACAAAGACGCGCGCGGGACCTGAAATAGAATAAAACCTTACCAAACTTAATATAAAAAACACACTGATATGGGCACTTTAATGAAACAAACAAACAAACAAACAAACAAACAAACACACACACACACACATCCTCACACACTCACACTTATATCAATCGATCATGTTTCAAAGGGAAAGGTAAAGGCAACAGTAGTATACCGCTGTTCGAAACTCATAAATTGATAGAGATAAAAACAAATCCGGGTTACAAACTAAAACTGAGGGAAACGCATCAAATAAAAGAGGAGAACAACGACACAACAGAAACACAAAATTAAAAATGTAACACACACAGAAACGAACTATAATATAAGAATGGCCATTTTCCTGACTTGGTACAGGACATTTTAAGAAAAAAATGGTTGGTTGAACCTGGTTTTGTGGCATGCCAAACCTCCCGCTTTAATGGCAACGTAAAACACAAAACTAAAACGACAACATCACATGACAGGACCACAATACAAATAAATGGGAGAACAAAAAGGACAAAGAAACACACGAATAATAGCTAACAAAAGGTACTAGGCTTAAAATCCAATACGCCAGACGTGCGTCTCGTCCACACAAGACCATCCAGTGACGCTCAGATGAAAAAAACTTGAAAGCCAAAACAAGTACAAAGCCGAAGAGCACTGAGGACCAAAACTTCCGAAAAGTTGCGCCTAACACGGCCAGGGTTTTCTGCCTGGGACAAGAAAATCCTTATTATTTAGAATAAATTATAATTTTGCAAACAGTAAATTTTATAAAATGACTATATAATAGATATACATGATAAAACCGAAGTGGTGACTAACTACAGAATAAAAACTGAAACATTACATAAAACAACTTAATCAACATATAAAAATACACAGCCGAGTTAGCCAAAGCATCAACGCACAAAGTGACGTCACATTTGAAATTCAAAAAAAAAACAACACAAAGTGACGTCACATTTGAATTTGTAAAAATATTTCCCAAAAATAAGATAGGATTAGGATTGATTCAAGATTAGATTTGTAATACTGACATTTTACAATTGCTTTTTAAAAGCAATTGATTTATATGTGTCTATAGATATCTTTTATGAACTTTGCGATGTAGTATGTTTATCAATATACGAAGATAAGCAGGTACAGAGGTTCGAAGAATACAACGATAGAAATGGAAGAGACAGAAGAATGGAAAATGCCTGTTTTTTCTCATTTATTTGTTTCATGATTTTTAAATATATACAGATACATTTCCTGTGTACTTAATGTCATGCTTCTTTGTTTCAGTGCCATGTTTTCTATTTCCGTTATAAGTTTTGCTGTATTCTCAGGTTTTATTCTGGCACAACAGTATGGTATGTTTTACTCACTTTAGTTTGTAATAAGAAAACAAAAATCAGAAAATTGTATGTTTAACATGACAACTACAAACTTTACATAAACCGGCCACATAGTTGTGGGACATAACAGAATTAAATCAAAATTGTATTTTAATACAAAAGTAGGAACTCCAGAACAACTACTCGACTGTTTACAAAAAAGTATAATATAGATATGTACAAAGAGACAATAATCAAGTTTTTCGTAATTGTGCAAATGTTGAAGTAAGAAATCATATAATATTATTCTTCGACAATTTGTATATTTTTTTTTTTAATGTAACTGACTACTATTTTTCTTATATCATGGACAGAACCTAATATTCGAAAATATTAGACAAGACGTCATGTAACAATGCACATCAGTGTCTATTTATCAACGCAATCCATGCGACTTCATTCACAGCGTATTTTACGTGTAAAAAATAGTTTTACTTTATCATGTTTATTTTCATATTATCTAAAAAAAAAAGATACTAATTGTTAATACAAAATTGCCAATTAAAAAAAGAACAATTGCATTTTTGTTATACTGAATTCATCAGCTCACCATTGCCGGGGCGCTTGATGTTCTAGCCAATAACATGAATAAAGTAAAAAACGAAATTGCCTTTATTCTTTATATATATATATCGGAATTATGGTTAAAGGTGATATTCGCCTGGTGGATAGCAGACTTGAGATTTACTACCTTGGGCAATGGGGAACAGTTTGCGATGATGCATTTGGTGATATAGATGCTGAAGTGGCTTGCAAAGAACTTGGATACAGGTGCTGGCAGAAATATATGATTGCCATTGTCGTTACATGTAAACATTAACAAAACTAATGCTGTGTGTCAGCTTTCAAAGTTTTTCCGCTATGCTTTAAAATACGGAAAATCTTATTCAAATATGGACGTTGATATACTTAAGGGGTATAGAAATTAAGCAATAGACGTGATAAAGGCAAAGCAAAAAATTGAAAGTCAAAACCCGTTCTGAAATTATATACAATGCATTATTATTAAAATGTCTTAATCGCTAATCGTGTGAGCTAAAAGTGAATAAATGTAAGATTTCATTCGTTCAAATTTAGTGGTGTTATATACTGCAATTTTGCACTCATAAGTAAATGTATGAACTTTATACAGGTAATACTTTTAACAAATTGATTCATTTGAATTGAAAAACAAATAGCTTGTGTTGATTTGTATCGAATAGATGTACTGAAGGAGGCAACAGTATAGCCATAGCTTTTAATTTTAAATGTTTCTTTTGTGTCTGTAAAGATTGTGACGAATATTTGCGACATCATTTGCTCGATATGTCAAATAACTGTAGCATCTTGATGCACAGACCATGCATCTAATTGACTTGATAATAACATAATAACGTTAGGCAGCTAAGCATAGTCTTATCTAGATATGTGTAAAGTGGTAAAATATTTTTTGAAATTATATTTCATCAGCTATAATTGTCTATACAAATTAACAGTTTCGTAATAACAGCAAAACAAAATGGGTGGGGCAGGTGAAAAGGGTATCAAATCAGGGTTATTTTTGGAAGAAGGTGCATTGTAATTAGATTTCTTTATAAACAAAAGCAACTCGTATAAAAGTGAGTCCATATTACTTTACAAACAATTTATTAAGAACAATAATTTGCAATTGTCCCACACTACCTTTTTTCTATATTTGAGTCGTGTGTAGACTAAACGCGCATCTGGCGTACACAATCTTAATCCTGGTATCTCTAATGAGTTTATTTACTGAAGATGGCGTAAGTTCAACTTGTTTGCACATTTTTGAAAGGGTCATACAATATAGGCATTAATTTTGATAACGTTTTCTAATGCGGTGCTGAAGGTGACTTGTTTGTTTCGAAATTTTTTATAGCACCGGTATTTCACTCGGAAATGACGTGGATGACGGAACTGGTATAATATGGCTGGACGACGTTAATTGTTCAGGATTTGAAAGTAAACTAACGGACTGTTTACATCCAGGATGGAGTGAAGAAAACTGTGACCATACTGAAGACGTTGGGCTGAGCTGCTATAACATATATCCAGGTATGTATCCAGTTTGTTAAAAAAAATCAGACACCTACATTTTTGGAAATATCACACTAAATCTCACTTTTTTTTTATCACAACCAGTAAAATAATAACAGGTATATAAAACATACAAAAGCCACACAACATGAGATTGAATCGTGTTATTAATTTAAAAACGATATTATAGATAACAATTACAACAATAAACCTTGCAATATTGAAGAATGTTCTTTATTACTTAAATAAAAACACAATACTAAACCTGTTGTTTTTTAAACGGGTTGGTTCGCAACACCAATTTCTAACCCGATATTAAATGGTTCGTTTAGTCAACTTTTAATGTCCGTATTCATTCAAAACTGAGCAAATATTCAGCTTAAAGTACAATGCAACATATGTCACGTGATATATATCGTATCCAAGTCAGGAATCCACTTAAAAGTTGTACCTCTCGCACTATTTTCTTTAAATTAAATTTGGTGTTGCAGTTATATACTTTGTTCGTTGTCTCTTTGCAATTAATCACTAATTTTCAAACTTGTTTCTCTTGGTTTTACAAATGTTTTATTGATGGATAGAACAATATTGTACTCTGCAGTTGTTAATATTTTTGGAGCTATTGGTTATTATTTACCTCTCATTGCCATAACGGGTGCACGTTCATCTCAGTTATTTACTTAGTACACGACAATTATTAAACCGAATTCACCTGACAATTGCATATTTTCCATAAAATACAACTGTTTTGCATATCATTAGAATGCTGAAAAGCTTTATTACTGAAAATGTTATGTCGTCGCCATATGATATATATGGTGTAACTTCTTTTTGATTATGATAAAAAAAAATAACTCCAAATGTCTGAACAAAAATACAAAAAGTGATGTAATTAGAGAAATCATATCGATCTTTAGAAAAAGTATGGACAAAATCAGATAAGAATGCAATTATACATATTTTCCATTTGACTTTTTCTTTGGTTCATCATTTAGTTACTTCACAGTCTGAAGGCTTAAAATGCATTTAAATTTAAGATTGTTTATTCCCTTAACATTTTACCTTCTTCCTGTGTCTATCAGTTGGGACTAAATTAACTCAGACGGATAGTACTTTTGAAATTTACTACCTCTCTCATCCCTGAAAAATAAGAGGGAATACGTAAAACAAATGGTGATATTATTCACTGAATTGGACAATTTGACAATTTTGAAAAAAATATATAATGAAAACGGGTGCTAAAACAAGCGATGTGAAACAATTGTTTAACAATCTAAAATAAAAATCACCATTAGATTAAATCTACAATGAACTTTTATATTATAATGCAAGTAACTATATGAATGATTTTGAATGATTCTTTTTTCTCTAAATGTACATATTAGAACTTGTAAGTAAAAAAATATACTTTAAAATTGAGGGCACTCAATATAGTGGTCCCGTTAGTATTATGTATTGCTTACAGATCTGTTAGTTATGGAACCTCCCCTCTTTAACCTGAAAAAGAACATTAGATTGCATAGTTTGTCATATTATACGTATTGGCTTTTTTGGTATTTGGTTTCTTACAAGATACGGTAGAATGAATGAAATGAGTTAGTCATATGTAAACTATAACCATGCATTTCAACCCTAGAACATTACAGTTTTTTAAAATATAATACGGGGCGTGGCGTTGATCTGACATGTGTCCCATGCAGGTTATTGTCTACCACCACTGATCATGGATACACTTTATCAGATAATTATATGGAATGCTTTATAGCATTAAAATTCGAATACAACAATAACAGCTAACATCGATCTCTTGCTTACCTATTTATGAAAAAAAATCCAACAACAAAAAAACGGAAGCTAACCGAATATAGCAATCCGTAAAAGATATCAAAAAATTATTTAACGTTTTGTTGCACATGAATACATAAATAAAAAGCCAATATTAAAATGTTGTTTAATTTTCTTGACCAATTCACCGAGACACTAGTCATTTACTATGTTAATTGTCGTTTTGATGACATCTTATTCGGTTAAAAACCCGTTACATCATCTTTTATATAAACAACTATTAACCTTTGGATACCTCTTTCAGTGCAGGGTAATTGGTCTTCATGGACAACATGGACAACTTGTTAAACTAGCTATACTGGTGATCTTCAGAGTAGATCACGTAAATGCAATAACCCATTACCCTCTGAAAATGATTTGTATTGCAACGGTTCATCAATGGAAACAAAAATGTGTAAAACAGCCTCTTCTTTAGGTAAATCTTTATCGACTGTATGCCTAATAATGTGTAGTTGATAATGTTCAATGCATTTAATAAATACTAGACGTTATCATTCATTTAACTTACATCGTTCATTTCGGCTTACATCAGATACAATGATTTAGATTAATTGCTTTGTGCTAAATGTGTTTTTGACATGAATATCAATTATATGGTCATTTGTATAAATTTCCTGTTACAAAACTTTGAATTTTTCGAAAAACTAAGGTTTTTCTTATCCCATGAATAGATTACCTTAGCCGTATTTGGCACAACTTTTTGGAATTTTGGTACTCAGTGCTCTTCAACTTTGTACTTGTTTAGCTTTATATCTTTTTTGATCTGAGCGTCACTGATGAGTCTTATGTTGACGAAACGCGCGTCTGGCGTATTAAATTATAATCCTGGTACCTTTGAAAAATATTTACACCACTGGGTCAATGCCACTGCTGGTGGAGGTTTCGTCCCCGAGGGTATCACCAGCCCAGTAGTCAGCACTTCGGTGTTGACATGAATATCAATAATATGGTCATTTGTATAAATTTCCTCTTACAAAACTTAAATTTTTCGAAAAAACTAAGGATTTTCTTATTCCAGGAATAGATTATCTTAGTCGTATTTGGCACAACGTTTTGGAATTTGGGGTATTCACTGCTCTTTAACTTTGTACTTGTTTGGCTTTATAACTATTTTGATATGCGCGTCACTGATGAGTCTTTTGTAGACGAAACGCGCGTCTGGCGTATTAAATTATAATCCTGGCACCTTTGATAACTATTATATGCATAAATCGACTTGATTTTAATATCAAAAGTATATATAGTTAACAACAAAAATCTACATAATAATGGTTTCCTGTCATCGTTATAAGATTGTATTACCAAAGATCATTTCGAAGTTAACCGTTGCTATCAGATACATGTATGTTAAAAAAATATTTTTATAACAACAATAGTTTAACATTAAACATTTGCTTGGTTGACGAGAAGTTATACGTGAACATTTAGTCATTAGTTTGGTAAATGTTCGTCGGGATAATGCACAACGAGAGAATGGAATTCCTGTGATTTTTTAATCAATTCCTTGAAGAATTTTTACCGAGAGCCTTACATCTTTATATGCTCGTAAATTAGGGATATGTCTGCGATTTCTCTGACCATTTGTCTTTTGGAAATAATCAGTTAACTATTAAGTATGGTCTTGTCAATTCACATTTAGATAACATTTTAAAATATCACTCTCGAAATAAAGTTATCGATGGAAGATTTGTCGGCGTTTAACGTTCCATCAATGATTTACACATTTCTTTTTATTGATAATCTGTTCTTCATCTTTAAATAATGGAACATGTCGCAAAGAATATCATAAACTTTACTAAGTGATGTGAATATATTGCATAATTACATTTGTTAAATTAGGTCTATGATATACAATATTTAGGAGCTGTAGAACAAACTGATAATGAAAATAAATATTCATCCGGAGTTGTTGCAGGAGTAGCTATTGGCTGTATCGTAATAACCATCGTATTGATGTTACTTGGATTGTTTGCTGTTTTACGTTTGAGAATATATAAACAGAGTCAGAGTAATTATACATTTTTAAAACTTATGTTTAGTTAGTTACCAAAAGCAATTGTATAGTATAAAAAAAGAAAAATAACAAGAATAACAAACTCCAAGGAATATTACAAACGAAAAGTCCCTTATCAAATACCAAAATCGACAGCTCAAACAGGTCAAAGGAACAAAAATTATCTGTCATATTCCTGACTTGGTACAGACATTCCCTGATGTAGACCATGATAGATTAAACCCGATTTATAGCTAGCTTATCATAGAATTCCATTTTATTTACAATAAGAGAGAAAACAAATCGGTAAAAATGGGGTTACCGTAGTAGTCAACATTGTGTTATAATCTTAATCAATGTCAAAACAATCAACCATGTCAACAAAGAAAACATTAATCTGATATAGACATTTTATAGACAAACATAAACAAAAATGAAAGACAAGAATACAAAAATACAACTATAGCGCAATAACACAATGGGAGAATATATTAATACCGAACCACGAAAAAAGAATATTACCAAAATTGGACTTAACATTAAAGGTTAAAAATATACAATGACTATATAACGAACACTGTAACATGTTATAAAAATGTTCATCATACCAACATGATTTTGAAAACTTACAGCATGTACATCTGTAGATGCATAAAAAGATGAATTATAAAAACATTTATTTTTTCAAAAAATACTTTCGCAAAAAGTTCATAATCATGATAAATTAAATAATCTTTAATTTAAACAACATATACAAGACATTTTGCCAAAAATATGTAACAAATCTTATACGATTAATGAGGTTACTCTGATCATGGTTTGGCATACTGTTTACAAAGCTTGTTATTTAAAAATATAGTCTAATATACACAACTGCTACATTTGTCTCCGACTTAAATGGTTAATTTAAAATATATGATTGACTGACTTTTCCTGACTTCAGAAATTTTCTTTATCATTAATAGGTGCAAATCAAAGCAGCAAACCGTAAGTGTTTGTTTTAAATATCTTGAATATTTGAGATTGTGGATACCTTATAGTTACAGTCTACCACTTGCTTCATTAGTTCACGTCATTCTAAAAAGTCTTAATCTTGAACCTTTTAAAAAGAAAGCGGGAAAGTACAGATGCTCAATTATAAGTTTAGAAAAAGCAGACGACGCAACAAAAAAAATTGAGAATCAACAATACAAAATATAACACAGTAAATTAAACATTTGGAAACAGTAACACAAAAGCTACGTATGCTGTGTCACTGATTGGTTCCCAACATCTTCAGTGATTCATTTTGTCATCTTTAGTCCGAGAATAAAAAAGAATATTAGATAAAAAAGAAAAAATAGGAAATTCACGAAATGAGGCAGGTCGATATGGTCAGCATCTACCATCAAAAGAATTCCTAGGTGACACCAATAAATAAAAGTAAAAGCCAGGAATACAAAAATGGATATTTGACCGAGTTTACATATCAAAAGTGAGACGAGCAACCGTTCTATTGTATAGATTAATTTATAATGAACGAAGAACCAGTGAGTGTTCATTTAATGGTTCTTAAGAATCATATTGTGGTGTGTAATCATTTTTGATTTTTTGAAGTTCTTCCTGCATTGTCTAAATAGACGGTTTGTATATAACACAACCATCAAAAGAGTTTAAGAGTTATCCGTCTTGTATCAAGTCATGTTAATACAATAACATAACTGTTTATAAAAGACGAAAGTCATACTTAACAAAATATTTACCCTTTTAAATCGAAAAATGTATTTAAACACCATGATATTGATTTTTTTGTATTTCAAACTCCAGATTGCTAACCGATATTAACATCAAGCTAAATGATCTAGGATGTGCAAAGTAAAGTCATTTAATTTGTTTTAAATCATTGGGTTTTTTTTGGAACACAACTACATTATCACGATACATTGTCAATGTGCAATCAGTTGATATTGTTATAACATTGATCAAAATACAACTATTTGGCGGAATATAAATCTGGTACCTTAAATTTGGTTTGTTTTACAGGGAGGAGTCATATGATGACTTGACGATAAACCAAACAACAGGTGCTTATTCTGTATACACCAACCAGAACAATTAACACACAGTTATAAGTAAAACCAACAACAGGCAAAGTAACGTACCAGGTGACACGTATGACAACTTAGGACAAGATTTCTACGAGAATATCTCTCAGAACTGATGTTGTATGTGATATGTCTTGTTCAAACATTTTCCAATTTGATATATGCCTGAAATGAAAAGAAAACTAACTTGCTGAAACATATGCTTAACACATCGTTTACAGAAATAAAATCGTGGTGAATATTAAGTCGGAAATATGGTTCATTATGCAAACAGTAATAAAATTGCCTTTAATAAATTTGGAAGCTATATTATTATAAATCGTTACTTTTTTTCTTAGCACATTTATTTTATTTCGATGCAAACTTGATTAACTGTAAAAGTTCATTAAACAGTCAATTATGTCCTTAATTTGTTACAGAAAAACTTAAGAGAACGCAGATATGTTTGGAAGCATTTTGGAATATGTCGGGTGTAAAATTCTGGTGCTTTGAAAAATATAAGCCAAGTTATGACATACTAGTTAAATGCATGGTTTTTCAATGGGAACATAATCGTCAAGTTTTATTGGTTTATATTTCATATATCAGAGCTCTATCCTCACTGTTATATACATGATATAAGCAAAACCAACAATCAATCACGCAAACTCAAGGGACTATTTTTTATAGACCCTTTTTGTATGCAACCGGATGTGACGTACTATTATTTGGTGGTATTTCACCTAAACTAGTTTTCAACTTTGCGTGAGGTTGTTGGAACCTTAATTTCGAATTGTATACAATAGGAACGTAAGGTTTTGAGTATGCTGTCAGTACGAAAGAACCTAAAACAGATCTGATGGTAGCCTCGGTGACAAACACATGATTATCATCTTTAGACCGAGCAATTATTCAGAAATCAGAAAGATAAAACGAATTAAAAAAAAGACTTTTTCTTTCACGGATGATTTAAAACTTAATATCACACTTCTATTTTTGTAAAAAGCTCTGAAGTTCTTTAACTGTTTTTATGTACACTCTCGATGATTTTATAAACATTCTACTGTAGATTCATTATGATTCGTAGGATACCAACATCTTGGAGATTTCGTGGGTACAGGTTAACCACAAAGTTTTATTTTTAACAAATTTTAACTGTGCCATCGGAAATATGCAGATTGTAGCGAGACCAAAACATTAAATACCTACGAAATAGCAAGTTGTGTCCGTTTTATTGAAATTGTTACCAAGGAAATCCACTAAGTACTGTTGTTAAATAATGAAACCAAATGGGTATATTTAGCTCATGTAAATAGACGTATGTAAAATAATGGAATAATTTACCAAAGATTCATTCAAACTCATAAGTCGAAAAAAAAACAGCCACATATGAACGAAGACACAAGTCAAGTAAAAGAGGAGCACAGTTGGTGTCCACAAGGTAAACGGAAACATTTTATTTGCTTGCTATTAGACATCAAATACGATGATTTGTATTAACATTCATATTATAAAGAACTAAAGGGATTTGTTTCCTCATAATTTGGGTACTGCAAGTTTTGAATAATTGTATAGGTTTAACTATTCTCGAACTAAATCAAAGTTAACACGATGCAGCATTTCTTTTTTTTTTTTGGACATCAATCACAGAACAAAGATTTACAACACATGGCATTCTTGACCTTGAAATACATTTTAAAGAAACTTATTCTTATATCTATCTGCACAGAAATAGCTGTGACTCACAGCATTTATTCCGAGGATTTATTAAAGGTGATGCAATACGGCAAATTAGAAACACAAGTGACCATAATAAATTAATAAACAATCTAAATGATTTCAAAGTGAAATTATTAGATAGGGGTTAAGATAAGGTCGAAATAAATGATAGTATTACTGATGCTTTATCAAGTGACCGCACTGAGTTATTACAAAAAAACAAATCAAAAGATAAACCAAATATTCCGTTAGTTTTAATAACTAAATATAACCCCTATATACGTAAGATAAAGAAACGTATCATGAAACACTGACATTTATAACAGTTTGACGAAGATTGCGTACAAATATAAGATACATTATCCCCGGCTTAGTATATTTCTAGGATTTTGATTGGTTAACGCACGTCGTTACAAAACCCATAGCCCCTGGGTGTAGCTAACCCATATACCCGGACGTTGCTACCCATTACAACGGGGAACATCACGCGCGTTTTCCTTAGTTCTATGGTTGTCCTTGTGAAATATCGAATTCTGTAGATTATCCATGATGTCCGTAATTAAATATTTAATCAACTAACGATTTTATCTTATTATGTCGATCATTTGCACTCATTTTAGTAAATGCATCACTTGGCTGCCACATTGTCATTGAATTGGACTACTGACCTAGCTATGAAAATGACCCACGTTGACGTCACACCGTCTATGATGTAACTCTCACAACATTGAGAGCCAAATTCGACCCATTCCCGTTTCTCTGTCTCTGGATTAAAAACGTCTTATATTTGACTACCTGTAGGGTTCTACCACAGGTAGTACCTTACACCCCGTTAAAAATATGTCAAATTCCCAAATTTCAATAAAAGATTTTTAAAAAATGAAAAAAAACGTTGCTTTCACGTTACATTTTGTGGTTGAATTTCTCTAAAAATCGGAAGATTTGGACTAAGACCGGGGATAAATTCGTTATCTACGTTCATATCCGTAGCTATGGATATTTTAACACCCTTCAGTACCCTGTACACCCTTCGGCTTCGCCTCAGGGTGTTAAAATATCCATATCTACGGATATGAACGTAGATAACTTATAATATAAGTCAATATATGGACTAAAACAAAAGTTTAAAAATTTACAAAGACAAATAAAAAAAAAATTCTGGTACTGAGATGACAATTTATTTAAAATTCGAGGTTGAAGGCTAAACATTAAGCGGAAGAAGCTGTATCTGTTGTCTCTTAAAATTTTAGTTATGGAAGATACATATATGAACACAATTAGACAAGACAAGACAACGATTCATCAATGGAAACAACAATGTGTAAAACAACCTCTTCTTTAGGTACATCTTTGTCGACTGTATGCCTAATATTGTGTGTTTGATAATGTTCAATGCATTTAATAAATACTAGACGTTATCGTTCATTTAACTTACATCGTTCATTTCGGCTTACATCAGATACAATGATTTAGATTAATTGCTTTGTGCTAAATGTGTTTTTGACAAGAATATCAATTATATGGTCATTTTTATAAATTTCCTTTTACAAAACTTTGAATTTTTCGAAAAACTAAGGATTTTCTTATCCCAGGAATAGATTACCTTAGCCGTATTTGGCACAACTTTTTGGAATTTTGGTACTCAATGCTCTTCAATTGTGTACTTGTTTGGCTTTATAATTATTTTGATCTGAGCGTCACTGATGAGTCTTATGTAGACGAAACGCGCGTATGGCGTATTAAATTATAATCCTGGTACCTTTGATAACTATTATATGCATAACTCGACTTGATTTTAATATCAAAAGTATATATAGTTTACAACAAAAATCTACATGATAATGGTTTACTGTCACCGTTGTAAGATTGTAATACCAAAGATCATTTCGAAGTTAACGGTTGCAATCAGATACATGTATGTTAAAAAAATATTTTTATAACAACAATAGTTTAACATTAGACATTTGCTTGGTGAACGAGAAGTAATACGTGAACATTTAGTCAATGGTTTGGTAAATGTTCGTCGGGATAATAAACAACGAGATAATGGAATTCCTGTGATTTTTTAATCAATTCCTTGAAGAGTTTTTACCGAGAGCCTTACATCTTTATATGCTTGTAAATTAGGGATATGTCTGCGATTTCACTGACCATTTGTCTTTTGGAAATAATCAGTTAACTATTAAGTATGGTCTTGTCAATTAAAATTTAGATAACATTTAAAAATATCACTCTCGAAATAAAGTTATCGATGGAAGATTTGTCGGCGTATAACGTTCAATCAATGATTTACACATTTCTTTTTATTGATAATCTGTTCTTCGTCTTTAAATAATGGAACATATTGCAAAGAATAACATAAACTTTACTAAGTGATGTGAATATATTGCATAATTAAATTTATTAAATTAAGTCTATGATATACAATATTTAGAATCTGTAGAACAAACTGATAATGAAAATAAATATTCATCCGGTGTTGTTGCAGGAGTAACTATTGGCTGTATCGTAATAACCATCGTATTGATGTTGCTTGGATTGTATGTTGTTTTACGTTCGAGATTATATGAACAGAGTAATTATAAATTTTTAAAACTTATGTTTAGTTAGTTACCAAAAGCAACTGTATAGTATAAAAAAAGAAAAATAACAAAAATAACAAACTCCAAGGAATATTACGAACGAAAAGTCCCTTATCAAATACCAAAATCACAGCTCATACAGGTCAAAGGAACAAAAATTATCTGTCATATTCCTGACTTGGTACAGACATTCCCTGATGTAGACCATGATAGATTAAACCCAGATTTATAGCTAGCTTATCATAGAATTCCATTTTATTTACAATAAGAGAGAAAACAAATCGGTAAAAATTGGGTTACCGTAGTAGTCAACATTGTGTTATAATCTTAATCAATGTCAAAACAAACAACTATGTCAACAAAGAAAAAAATCAATCTGATATAGACATTTTATAGACAAACATAAACAAAAATGAAAGAAAAGAGTACAAAAATACAACTATAGCGCAATAACACAATGTGAGAATATATTAATACCGAACCACGAAAACAGAATTTTACCAAAATTGGACTTAACATTAAAGGTTAAAAATATACAATGACAATAAAACGAACACTGTAACATGTTATAAAAATGTTCATCATACCAACATGATTTTGAAAACTTACATCATGTACATCTGTAGATGCACAAAAAGATGAATTATAAAAACATTTTTTTTTTCAAAAATACTTTCGAAAAAGTTCATAATCATGATAAATTAAATAATCTTTAATTTAAACAACCTATAAGACATTTTGCCAAAAATATGTAAGAAATCTTATACGATAAATGAGGTTACTCTGATCATGGTTTGGCATACTATTTTCAAAGCTTGTTATTGAAAAAAATAGTCTAATATACACAACTGCTACATTTGTCTCCAACTTAAATGGTTAATTTAAAATATATGATTGACTGACTTTTACTGACTTCAGAAATTTTGTTTGTCATTAAAAGGTGCAAATCAAAGCAGCAAACCGTAAGTGTTTGTTTTAAATATCTTGAATATTTGAGATTGTGCATACCTTATAGCTACAGTCTACCACTTGCTTCATT